AAAAAAAAAAAAAAAAAAAAAAAAAAAAAAAAGGAACAACTCTTAATGTGTAAGGAGATCAGAGATGGTCTCATAAAGAATATAAGGCTATGGCTGGGCATGGTGGTGCTCATCTTTAATCCCAGCACTCGGGAGGCAGAGGCAGGTGGATCTCTGTGAGTTCAAGGCAGCCTGGTCTAGTCTACAATGGGAGTTCCATAACAGCCAGAGCTGTTACACAGAGAAACTCTGTCTAGAAGAACAAACAAATAAACAAATTATATTTATATATATATGACTATGGTTCAGCTCTGAAAAGGAGTATGATTTGAGGCTGAGAACTGAGAAAGGGGGGCTCTTAAAGTGACACAAACAAGAGAAGCAAAGAGAAAGACAGGGTAAGCAAAAGAACAAAAACAAAAACAAAACTAAGACTGGAGCACAAAGGGAGTCCAGCTTAAGAGGAGAATACGAAATATTACAGGAAATGAACAGCACAATTCTGTTCACAAATCTGTTGCCTCAGGGGAGTTCTGACCGTTAGTATCCTGTGGCTAGTAGGTCAAGTGCTGGCTTGGCCTCAAGTCCAGCCTCTCTGCATAGCGCTCTGCTTTTTCTGCTCTGCCCTTTCTAAGTCTCCACAATCATCTCCAAGCTCCTCTGCAATCACAGCTAGGATTCTGGTCCTCTGAACGTCTAGTAACTGTTCTAACCTCACAATTTATCCCCGGTTGAGTTCCAAAGAGAACCAGGATGAAGACTAAATGGGAAGGAAAGGAAGCACTGAGAACAACGCCTGGATCCAAGCAAATGCTCAGTGCCAGGCAGGTCCTCTGCTCCTCAGGCCTCTGACCCAGGTGAAGCCTCCTTGATGACCCCTTTGGCCTACCCAGCTGTGCTGAATCACGGCAGAGAACTAAGCAGGGATGAAGCAGCACAGGAGTCACAGAGATACAATCCAGGGCTGACTCCTCTCTATACTGAGAAAGCAAATGTACCTAAAGGGGCAGAGGTCAATAGCTGTCACCAAAACAATGGCTGTGTTCATCCCATTACTATTACTGAAAAACTGTATTGCTTTAGAACAATCACTCCGAAATTATCAGATAAGTGCCCGACGAAAGACCAAGCAGAGCCACTCTAGTGGTGATGCTTACACAAAGATCTGAGAACACTCTCTTACCTCCAATGGTGAGCTGCAAAGGAATCTTGTGAACTGCAGAGTCCAGTTTGAATAGGATCAATTTCATCCAGGAAAGGCGCAGTAAGAAAGAACACACAAAGAAAAATATTACATAATTTTCCAGTGAGAACATCTGAAGCCAAAGTCTATACAAAGTTAATGTTTTCTATAATGTACAATTTATCCAGAGCACACAGTTCAACTCAGCCCATAAAAAGCACTCAACTATTTGAACTAGTTTACAAAAACAATGGTAAATATTTGTGTAAAAGCAAATACAGCACAATTAGTGCTAAAATAGTTACACTTTTAAGTTTTATCTCACAATCTCTGAGCATAAACCAAACAAACAAAAAGAGTCAGTAAGAAAGGAGTCAACAATCTTTCTGATCCTAAATGTGGAGCAAGGTTTAGTTAGTGCCAAGAATAGTTAAGATTCCAGACCTACTTCAAGACCCAGTGGAGTGAGAGTGTGGCATGCCTGCACTTGGCATCTCCACTGCCACGTGTCCTGTCATCTCTCTTCACGCCATATTCCTCCTTTCCTTTTGGTTCTCCTTTCTTTCTCCTACTCCCTATTGTTTTCTTTCACCTCTCTTTCATTGATGACTTATACACAAGATAACAGAACACTAAATTACTATTACATGCTGCTTGTCTCTCAGTATTTAAACAAACAATTCTGGAGGGAGGGGCAGGAACTATTGACAATACAAATTGTCATATGTCCATACATATAGATGACAGGAAATTCATGTGTTCATAGATATATTTATAGAATCCCCTTTGAGAATCACTGTGATAATCAAATATCCAAGTAATATAAATTCATCTTTCTAAATTCATATTAACAACAGTAAGCTGTAGTGACAGGCCTGTTTCCAAGCACTCGTGAACTTCTCTATAACAAAGCTAATTTGTACTCACAGGGAAAACAAAGAATTTCTAATCTCTCTGAGATACACAGAGGGAAGCTAGGGATATAGTTCGATGCCCATCCTGCAGGAGGTCTTGGGTTTGAGCTTCAAAACTGGAAGAGGAAGTGACTGAAATAGCAGTAAAAGTATATATCTAGGATTTCCTTCTACATCACTGGAGAAAGGTGTAGAGGTAAGTAATGGAAGTTGAATAAAACAAGACTATTCCTATTAAACTAATGAGTATAAGAGATAAAGACAGAGGATTCCTTCATAGATGATTAGTTCCACTCAAAGTTTAGTTTTCTATAAGAAACTTCCCTTAATACCATTTTTAAAAAGTATCAGCTACACCCTCCCCAAACTATAAAATACACTCCTAAAATAACACAGGGCATATCAAAGCTACCAGTATCATCTAGACTCTAAACTGCAAGATGCATTAAAGTATAGAGACTGTAAAGTTTTTCTCTTTAATATCCAACACAATTCTATTGTTAGAACTTTTCTGAAAGTACAAGGTAAATCAAAATGCTGCCTTCATAATGCTGACAGGGCACAATTAATTTTATAGTAATGCAAATTTTATGGTCTTGAAGTCTATTGCAATAGCTCAAACCATGACAATAAACACTCCTCTTTCCCAAAGCAGAAAGTACAACTGAGATACTAGATCATTTTAACAATGGAAAACAATAAGGAACAGCAAGTTTTTATTTTTATGCCAGAACTTTGATATTATAAGGTTTCTATGCTTTACACCTATATGTACATGTCAACTATGCTATACATATACTTTTAGATTTGTTAAGCAGTCCACAAAGTATAGTAGCAAATGATGCATCAATCAAGAGAGCAATCACTTTAAATAACAAACAAGAACTACGTAAATGCTGTCTAAGGAAGCTAATGCCTTCTTGAAGTCCAACAATTTACACACACACACACACACACACACACACACACACACACCCTAGCATGTGTATTTGTAATAAGTACAGTTAATATTAGTGATGCCATGTTTTCAAAATAAGAAATTTGAAATGCTCATCACGTTTGAACTGCCAAAATATGAAATACGTAAGTTTTCAACCACAAAGCATTAAAACAGAGTGACAAGTCACAAGGCACATATATACTATCCTAGGACATGAAAAGCATTTCAAAATGCTTCCTCTGCATCACTGTGAAGGGGAAGCCAGCTGTTTTGTTCCACTTCAGTCAGGTACTTAGAGAAGCCCTAACAAGACTGTACAGGTTATGTTCTCAGTACAAATGCTAACACCTTGAAAAATGATTGGTAAAATGCACTCTGAACGTCCACTAAGACTGACAGCAGAAACAGGTCCCTTTCAACCAACAGCAGCATGATGACAAGGCAAGAAAATGACTATGTTCAATTCTGTTGTGAAATTAAAGCTACTAAAATTTAAGTTCAGTTTAAAAAGATTACTATGGCCACAGTAAGTAACACATATTGATAACCACAATGCCACCATTTCTAACATGGGTACATTCATGCTAATAAATAAACAATGGGTATAGTTAATAAGATCTTACTCAAGATATTTAAGCCTATTGGGAAAATAAACATTTTCACCATGTTTTACCAAGTTTCTTATTGACTTCCAGAAATAACAGGATGCAAAAATAGTTACCTTCCTTATTTATCTATATTCCTTATCTATCCATTTTAAAGAATCCTTCTGAAAAAAAAATCTTAATCTAACTGAAAACAGGCAGGTAGATTTTAAGTTAATAATAGTTTGATTCACTTAATAAAATGTGTAAAAAATTTTAATCATCATTTTTTTGAGACAAGGTTTCTCTGTGTAACAGCCCTGGCTGTCCTGAAACTCTCTTTGTAGATTAGACTGGCCTCCAACTCACACAGATCCAACAGCCTCTGCCTCCCAAGTGCTGGGATTAAAGGAGTGTGTTACTATGTATGCCTGGCAATTTTTTCTAATTTATTTAATTCTGTAATTAGTTGTGTGTGTGTGTGTGTGTGTGTGTGTGTGTGTCCCCTAGAGCTGGAGTTACAAAAGGCTGTGAGCAACCCCAAATTGGTGCTGGGAACCAAACTCAGGGCCTCTAGAAGAATAGTATACTCTCCTAACCACTAAGTCATTGCTCCCACCCCACATCTTGTATTTTAAGATCATATGTATATTAAAATCATAATCATAAAGATCATGGTCTATATTTAGAATTCAACATATCATGTATCACTGCCAATTTAAGGATCCTTTAAACTTCTAAAAGTAAAGTAAGAAAACATTTAGGTCAACATCTGTGTTCCCTAGCAACTGGATCACCTTGCTTACAATGAGGCATTCTGATTTCTGATCTTGGTACCCACTATGCTATCCATCACTGGTAGCCTGTCTCACAACCCCTTCTAACAGTTTCAGAGAGGCAACTAATGCTTATACTAAGTTTTCCTAGACAGCATTCTACATGCAAACTGTTCTCCAAGCTATAAGTTATACTGAGAAAGTTCCATTTTTCCTGAGACTTGATTGTTTTAAATGAGAGGAAAGAAGAATAGAGGGGTACACACTTCTAATTTTGTCAGAAATCCAGTAAAATTATTATAAATTATTTTATCTTTGTATTAAAAACACTCAACAGGTAAATCTTTTAATGTTCTTGAAATGCCATCTGTTTAGTAAGGAAACATGGCTAATGTTGAATACCAAAATGCAATTTTTACAAAGATAAACTGCATTAAAAACTTTTTTTTTTCCCAGCCAGGTATAGTGGCACATGCCTTCAATCCCAGCTCTTGGGAGGCAAAAGCAGATGGATCTCTGTGGGTTTGAGGCCAGCCTGTCTACACAGTGAGTTTAGGACAGCAAGAGCTAGATAGTGAGACCCTGTCTCAAAAAAAGCTTAATTACTTAATTAATTAGAAGGCAACAATTTTTTCTAAAACAAAGAACAGTAATCAGCTACCTCCATCAAAATGGAATTTCAGTCCTGTAACTGTTCATATCAATTACCCAGAATCTCCTTGTGTTAGCTAGGCATCTCTTTTGCTCCCATTTCCTTGACCTTTTCCTTATTACGTGATCTATAATGTCTCTACTTCAGACAATGTAATAAAATCTTTATTTAGCATTTTTCAATTGCTAAGCTGAATCAACCTCCTGGTAAAATTCAGTTCTCTTAGGAATTTGGAAGTCTTACTTCAGCTACAATTCTACATTGTGTTAAGTCACATTTTATACTCCTTTCCAATGCCCTACAATTAACATTCATACTGTCTTAAACTGGCTATTTTTCAGGGAGGATAAAATTGAGTTTTATGTTACAAATGTGGCTCTTATAAACATACAATTCTTAGAAATTTAAGTCAACACAGGAACCAAGTTTCATATTACACTGCAAAAAATTTAAAGCTTCAGAAGCAATCTAAAGACACAACCAGAACCATTTTTAAAGTCTCTCAAGAGAATGAGAATTAAATCTGTACATAACTGTGGGTCAAAACTAAGGTCTGAGAACTAATAGATGTTTAATTATTATAAGAATAAAAATGTAAAAAAAGATTCCCCAAATTCATGTCACAGATTTATTAGGTTGAAAGGTTAATCATGTATACTACATTCTGACCAGAACTTTGCACATAACATCAGGCCTCAAGGAATCGTAAAAGATGACAATGATTCCTTTAGTCTTAGCACTAGGAAGGCAGAGGCAGGCAGATCTCTGAGTTTGGGGCCAATCTAGTCTACAGAGCAATTTCAGGTCAGTCGTGACTACACAGACAAACCCTGTCTCAACCCCCCCACCACACCCCCCAAAAACAGCAATGAAAATCTTTACTGGTGAAAAGAATAGTGAACTATGAGTTCTGTAGTCTGTGATCTCATTGGCTCTACATGTTCATCTGAGTCACTTAAATCAGTGTGCCTTTTTTTCTTTTTAATTTGTAAACCAATTTCAGCCAAGCCACTTTCCCAAGCTGGTGCCCCATGAATGTTAGACTCCAAAAACACTTCCCTGACTTGAGGTCCAAATATGCTTGGTAATGCTGCAAGCCAAAGCTGCCTAGCCTCACCTTTGCCTTCCAGAATTACAAGGAATACTGACAGTCTAAGACTCTTCTTA